GGGGTCCAGGCTGGAAGATGAGGCTGGGTGACCTTGGCAACACAAAGTAATCTGCTTTGTGTGACCTTGGAGTCAGTGATGATCGATAGAGCAGGAGCCACCCCCCTCACCCATGGTCCTACTAAGGGGAGCCCTGACTGGAGGGGAGCAGGATTACTTTGAAATCAGCTTCCTCTTCCCAAAGGGACTTTGAAGTGCCTCTAAAGTCACCAGGGGCGTCCCAGGTGGTGCTTAGTGGTACAAAATTCGCCTGCCAATGCCAGAGACACAGGAGACAAGGCTTCCATCCCTGGGTCGGGAAGATCCCCTGGAAGTAGGAAGTGGCAACCCACTCCAGTATCCTTGCCTGGACAATCCCATGGATGGAGGAGCCTGGTGGGCTACAGTCCACGGGGCAGTAGACTCAGAAATAACTGAGCACTAACCTAAAGTCACTAGTCAACAGCTTCTTAACCGCGCCAAAGGTTTCCAAGTCTCTCTCCTGCCTGTAAGAGGGGCTGGCTTGGGGTTACAGGGACCGCTGAAGTAGACTTCATTCCTAGGAATAGACTTTCTCCTCGCTCCATTCCCCTGTCCTAAACGATAGATTTTTACAGCCTTGGGACCACAGATCCACTTCCCAGAGAAGAATCTTCTCCTGACTTGTGATTAAATCACTCCCCCAGGCTGCTGATTAAATTCTAAGGCAGTGCAGACAATAGGACCCTACACCTGGTGTGGTTCTCCCCTCCCTTCTCTGAGGATCAAAGCCGCTCTGGGAGACTGTGTGATCCCGGGCCAGAAGGTCAGGGAGAGTCAACCAGGACTCAGACCAGGGAGGAAGCCCATTTGCCTGGATCGTTCTGGGGGAGGCAATCCCTCTTCAGAGGTCTCTTGCCTAGGTTCAAAGGCCTGTGGGGGCTGAGAGGTTGGCAGCGGATGGGGAAGCGACTCGACCAGAAAACCGGGGCTTCCTGTTGATGTAGGGGGCCCAGGCCCATCCAAGTCCACATTCCCCACCCAAGTCTGAGTGAGCTTCTGACACTCCCACGGAAGCCCCCACCCCATGTGGGACAGACAGTACCTAGAGCCATGAAGGGGTCTCCTGCAGCCCCGGGCCAAATCCAGGCAAGGGAACGGCCATCCTGGGACCAGAGGCAGCTTCCTTTCTAGGGAGGGCCCCAGCCCGCTTTCCCCAAATCCTAGAGCCTCCTCCCAGGAAAGTCTCCTTTCCCTAAATTGCTCTGAAGATTCTGACAGATGAGATAAGGAGAGGTCCATTCAGACCCCAGTCTCTTCTCTTCCCATCTTATCTCAGGAGTCTCCGCAGGAGTTGGGGGGTGGGGGGGTTGGCAGTGGTGGCTCAAGAGGGCCAGGCCCTCCCCTCTGATCCCATCAGTTCCTCTCTCACTGAGCCCCTTGGCAATGCACTCCTCAGTTCTGCCCCTCAACATCCCCAGCGCTGGCCATCACACACCCTCGCACAGCAATTCACAGGCCTCCTCATTCTCTGTGAGAACAGTCTTTGGGTTGCTTAGAAATTAAGTGCGGAGCAGCCTGGGAGAGATGCTGAAAAAGAGGTAAGACCCAGAGAATCCGTGCTCACTGCCGGAGAGAGAGAAGCAAGCCCCGCTTTCGGGGAACACCGGATTGGAGAAACAGCATCGCACATCTCTCAACTCCGCCACCCCACCGAAGGACAGCTTCTTTCCCCCAGCCCCTAACCCCAGTCCGTTCCAAGCCGCCCCGCGGGCTGCTCCCGAGGCGACAGGGCGGCGCAGGGGTCCACGCCAACTTGATCCAAGGCAGGAATCTGGGGCCCCACTCTTGTCTGACCCAGGTACCTGGCGACGTCGCTCTCCCAGTCCCCAACAGGAGAGCAGGTGTGGGACTGGGGAGGAGCCGGGAGGGGGGCGCAGCCTCCGACGCAGGTGGGTGAGGGGGTGCCCCGCGCACTGGTGGAAAGGTGACCCCGGGCGGGGCGGGAACACTAGTCGGGGAGCGGAGGCGCTCGGATCAGGAGGGCCAGGGGAGGGGAGGCTCCGCCAGGGGGAGGAGCCGCTACCCGCGTCCTACGGTCGGGGCTCCCTCCCGTTGCGGCTCCACTATAAAACCCGGGTCGGCATGACAGCGGCACCCGCGGCGACTTTCTCGGTGCGCGACCCCCGGCTCGGCTCCCGCGCAGGATGCGGCTGCTGCTGGCTCTCCTGGTCCTCGCCGCCGCCCCGCCCCGGGCTCGCGCAGGTGAACGAGGGCTTCGGCCCGGGGACCCCTCGGTGGCCCCTCAGTGGTCCCTCGCGCTCCGGCCCGCGCCCAGGCTGCGCCCGCCCGAGATGCAGCCGTGCGGGCTGTGGGCAAGGATGCAGGCAAGGCCCCGCGGGGCCGCTCAGGGGAGCATCTCTGCCCGCAGCCCGCCTCCGCCTCTCACCCTTTCTGGCGTCTCACGCCCTTGCTTGTGCGCCTCGGTCTGTCCTGGGTCGCTGTCCGTCCCGGGGGGCCTCAGTGCTTGGTAGCTACCCTCGGCTCGGACCAAGGGCAACAAACTGGGTGCCGTGCAGCCCTGGCATCGCCGCTTTCCGCCCTGATTCCTTGCCCCCCGGAGGCTGCCAGCACCCTTCACCTCCAGCGCCGTGTATGGAGCCTGGCGGGGGGCATCCGGAGACCCGAGGTCCCGGCCAAGCCGGTCTTTCCAGCCAGGGTGATTTTCGTCTCCAAATGGAACCATCTCCTTGCAAGGAGGCCCCCATCTGCCATTCCCCTTCCCAGCTACCCCTGGGATGGTCCTTGGGGTCCACCTGGCCACGTCTCCTCTCTAAAGCTAGATGCTCCTCCCTGGAAGTGAGTCGAGGGTGAGCAGAGAAAGAGGCCGTGGGTGCCTCTTTCAGGAGAGACTTAGACTTAATGGTGGGGACGTGACAGGCATCCTAAGAGAGAAGGCAGGATGTGAACATTTTTGTATGTAGGGCTGGAGGTTTGAAACCTACTTAAGCCTCTGGGCTGATAGAAAGAGAAACAGCTTTGCAATTAATGTGGCTGCCGGGTAGCTGCATGGCCTTGGGTAAGTCACTTTCCTCCTTGGTAAGTCGGCTTCCTCCTTGGGTAAGTCAGTTTCCTCGCTTACAAAACAGAAAGTAATTCTGTCTTCAGGTACCGTTCTAAGGATTCAAGGGAGGCAGTGGGTGTCCGCGCTTAGCATGGCACATGGCAGGCGCTCCGCAGCCATGTGGCTCTGACAGCTCTACCACTGGACTGGGCCCAGCAAGCCAGGAGCCTCTCTCAGCCACCCCCTCGAACAAGCTGTGAGCCCCAGAAGTGCTGAGGCTTTCTGACTGGGAGATGCCGAGCGTTGTCCCTCACTTCATCTCCTAGGGGGCTTGAAGCTGCAGGGTGACCAGGTGGCACAATGAATTCCCCAGGGCATCTGCTGCCCTGGAGAGAGGAGCAGAGAGGGTCACAGGCCCCTTCAGAGCCCCAGATCTGGCCAGAAGCTACCGAGACTTTGCCCAGGGCATATTTGGGTTTTGCTGAGCTGGTTTTCAAGATCCCTCCCTCCCCCTGGAGTTGGAGGGCGGGGTGAGCAAGGTCCACTGGAGGGAACGTCTTCAGTCATCCCTAAAGCAGGGGGCTGGAGGGGTGGGTAAGTCAGGGGTGGGGGGCCGGAGCTGAGCGACTGGCAATGGCCTTTAGTTCCTCACTCCATCCCTGGTCAGGGCAGAGGGACTAGGCAGAACCTCGAGCCCGGAGCCAAGACCTTCCAGTAGCTCCTCTCCTTCCCCGGGCCCCTGGGAAGTGGCCTGAGACTGCCGGCTGAAAGTCATCTGCAAGGGCTGCCTGCTCACGAGCCAGCACAGAACCCGAGCTGGTTTGAGCCTGCCATCTCTTGCCTAAAAACCAGCCCCTACCTTCAGCCTTTGGATACAGACCTGACCCTGGCCTTGGCCTCATCATCACATTTTTTTCTGGCTTTGGCTTCCTGAAGAGGGTAGTTACAAGGGCACTCAACCAAGCAGGTCAAAAGTCTCTGTGATTAAGACGCTGGATCAGAGGTCACCATTACAATCCCAGTAGCTGCAGCCAGAAGGCGGGAAGAGGAAATTCCTAAGAAAAGCTCAGGCTGGACCAGATGGGCTCTGGGGAGGCGATGGGGGTTCCACCTGCCAGAACTGGGTCCTGAGGAGCCTGGCTCAGGTCAGGCTTGCCCTGTAACAGCCCTTCCCACTGGGCTTCAGTTACAGGGAAGGACTGGCCCAACTCCAGTGGCCCCTCATGCCGTCGGGACCTCTGAGAGGTGGAGACACAGGGGGCCTTTTATGGCCGCAGCTGATCTCCCATCCAGTGTGTCCTCAGACACTGGGTCCGGGAGATCCGTGGCAGCTCCTCTTGCCTGGGGAAGGAAGCTAGTGGGCCCAGAAGAGTTAAGGAAGTCTGCTGCGAAGAAGCAAGACTCAGGGCAGGACTGGAGGCCAGGTGATGGGCTCCTGCATCCGACCTCTGCCTGTGTGCAGAGAGGGGCCTGGATGGGAAGCAGCTGCTACCCTTTGCTGCCCCTCGTGGGGCTTGCCCAGATGCAGAGTCCTGGGGGGCAGCAGAACCCTGTCCCAGGCAGGGGATGGACTGGCCTGGGGAAGACACTGCAGGGATGCTCTATCGCTGAAAGAGGCTCTGCCAGCAAAGTAAGAGAAGCGTTTGATCCAGAACTTGGAGACTGGGAAACCCAAGGTGGCTCCCAGGGGTGATTTTTAAATCAGTAGACTGATTTTAGAGCAGCTTCAGGTCTACGGAAACACTGGGCAGAGAGCACAGAGGAGAGGTTTCCCTGTGCAGTTTGTCCTCTTGTCAAATCTTTCATTAGGGCGCTACGTTCGTGATGCAGCCTTTTTTGGGGGCGATGCTGTTTCTGCTCTCCTGAGGCAGAGTGGGGGATCGGAAGGCAAAGTCAGGACCCTCACCAGGACTGTGAGATGCTGGGACAGGGGAGAAGGCCTAGGTGCCTTTGGCAAACACAGTGTAAGAGGGCGTGTTCTGGGAAGGGGCTAGCCTAATCTTCCCCATCACCCCATCAGCTCTGGGAAAGCAACCAGGCTGAACGTGGCTGTATTGTCCCAGGAGAGGGGGGTGCCCGGCCCTAATCTTCCTCTTCCCCTTTCCCCAGAGCTTCTCCTTCCAGGTCTGGTTGGGGGAGGCTGATGAACAACAGTGATGCTGGCCCCCGGGGAGAGCTGACCGGCTTTGGAGGGGCCAATGTCTCCCACATGCATCTGCTCAGGCCTCACGTCCCTCCTCTCTCCCTTCCAGCATCACACTGGTGCTACCAGATTCAACTCAAACCCTCCAACTACACCTGCTTGGGTAAGTGCGGGGAGTCTTGGGGTAGGGACCGTCCAGGTAGAAACGGAGACCCAGGGAGGGTGGAAAGGATGAGAGGTGGTGGTGGCCGCAGGCAGATATCAGCTTCACACACACACACACACACACACACACACTCCTGGTGCTCATGTAGAGTGAGAGGAGTTTTTTCTGGTACCTCCTGTCATCACCTCTGTCACCTAAGAAGTCAGCCCTCCATCCTCTGAAATAAATCAGCAGCAGCATCAGAGGCAGAAACGTTTTGCTGCCTCCTCTGCGGTTTCGGTGGCCGGAGGGCACTCCCCACCCCGGCCCTGCCCCCCAGTGTTAGAGGTCCAGAGGCTGGGCTCCCTGGGGTGGCGCCTTCCTGCCCCCCAGTGCCCGGACAAGGCTCAGTGTCAGGGTTTGGGGTCCTTTCACAAGAGGCCCTTCCAGGGGACTCCACGGCTTCCACTCACTCTCCCACTCACCTCCTTCGAACTTCAGAACCCCCAGGAAGCAGGTATCACCAGCATTCTCCTTTCACAGCTGAGCATCTGAGGTGGTCCTATGCCCCAGAGCTCACAGCCTAGTCCCACCCGTCCCACATCATGCCTTGCTGACTGTGTGTGTGTGTGTGTGTGTGTGTGTTGAGGAGGAAGGAGGGAGAGGGCGGAGTTCTATGCCGGGCATCCCCCAGCACAGTCTGCCAGCCGCCAGAGAAGGACCTNTGTGTGTGTGTGTGTGTGTGTGTGTGTTGAGGAGGAAGGAGGGAGAGGGCGGAGTTCTATGCCGGGCATCCCCCAGCACAGTCTGCCAGCCGCCAGAGAAGGACCTTGCTGACCTGGCCGGACCTGAGTCAGGCGCCCCTGATTCCCAGCCCAGCCTCCCTCCCTGCTCAGGGCCAGGCGAGTGGGAAGGCAGCTGCCAGAGCAACCGTCAGTCCCCCGTCAACATCGTCACAGCCAAGACTCAGCTGGACCCAAACCTGGGGCGCTTCTCCTTCTCTGGCTACGACAGGAAGCACCAGTGGGTTGTGGAAAACAATGGGCATACAGGTGAGTATCGGGCATGAGAGGTGGAGGCCCTGGGCAGGGCAGCAGGGGCACCTGGTCTTGGGACCCCCGTTCCCTGGGGACTAGGAGGTTGGGCTCCTCCCGGCAGGGGCACCTTTGCCAGGGGAGGGGCCGACAAGCCCTTCGTGGAGGGGAGGTGTAGAGAGGGGGAGCAGGGTGGGCCTGGGAGAGGAGGGGACCTCTAGTGGGAGTTTCAATCAGAGCCGTTTGGGCTGGGGCGGAGACAGGTTCTAGGAAGAAGGAACAGTATGTGCCAAGGCATGAGGGCGTGCAGCAGTCGGAGTGTTCAAGGGGCTGCGTGTGGCCCCATGTGCGTGCAGGACAGAGGCAGCGCAGGGCCAGCCCAGCCAGGCTCGGGGCTGGGGAGTCTGGACGCTGCCCTGAAGACACTGGGGCGCCACGCGTGGAGGGGGGCTGAAACAAGGGTGGGACCAGGCTGAGCCGTGGGTTTGGGCAGTGGGGGGCATGCAGAGGGAGACGCAGGCGGTGAGGGGCCAGGGGAAGGGCCAGGCTGTGCCACTCGCCCTGTCCCTTCAGGATGCAGCCCGGGATGGGAGGGAGATGGGAGAGAAGTCCTGCCTGGGGGGAGCTGGGATGGGGGCTGGGAGAGGCTAGGAGGAGGGTGTGAGGAGCTGCCCACTCCCGTCCCCTCCAGTGATGGTGTTGCTGGGAGACGAGGTCTCGATCGCCGGAGGAGGACTGAGCACGCGGTACCGGGCCAAGCAGCTGCACCTGCACTGGTCCAGGGCGATGGATCAGGGCTCAGAGCACACCTTCGACGGGGAGCGCTTTGCCATGGAGGTGAGGGACTTCTTCCTGGGGGTCCATGGCTTGGCTGGGCCCTGGGTATGCTTGCTTCGGGCGAGGAGGGTGGTCCACGCTCTGACGGGCTCTCTCTCCATGCCACTCACCCCTGACCAGATGCACATAGTGCATGAGAAAGAGAAGGCGCCATCCAGCAATGTGAATGAAGATGACATCGCAGTGCTGGCCTTCATGGTGGAGGTGGGCCGCTGCCCCAGGGTCGGAGGGGCTGGGTCTTAGGATTCAGGCGCCCAGGATCCCAGCAAGGCGGGAGGGGGCTGGGGAGGCTCGGACGTCCCCTCTGGTGCCCTGACTTGTGTACCCCACCGTGGGGAGCCCGGAGCCTCTCAGGGTCTCCGTCCTAGAAACTGCCTGCCCACCCCACCCCAGACCTGGAGAATGACCTGGTGGTCACCCCACCCCCAGCTCCGCTCCCCCCGCAAGCCTCTCTTAAGCCCCCTTCCCTCCTATTCCAGGCTGGATCCAACAATGTGAACTTCCAGCCCCTGGTGGAGGCGCTGTCGGACATCCCCAGACCCAGTGAGTCAGGAGGGGACTGGGAGATGGGGGTCTGGGAGGGGAGGTGTGGGTCGCGGGAGCGGGGGGTGGGATGGAGACTTTGTCCTACGAAGGAAGGTCCAGGGATTTCCCTGGTGGCCCGGTGGCTAAGACTCTGTGCTCCCAGTGCAGGGGGCCGGGGTTCGATCCCTGGTCAGGGAATCAGATTCCTCATGCTGCAACTAAAGACCCCCCAAGACCCAGCACAGCCAAATAGATAAATACGTATATATATATGTATATATATATATTTTTTTTAAGGAAGGTCCACATGGTGGGGGGCCTGAGCTCTGAGTGAGGTGTGTGAGGGGGTGACCTCTGTCCCCGCAGATATGAACACCACGATGAAAAGTAGCATCAGCCTCTTCCACCTGCTCCCGGAGGAGGAGAGTCTGAGGCACTACTTCCGCTACCTGGGCTCACTCACCACGCCGACCTGCGACGAGAAGGTGGTCTGGACCGTGTTCCAGGAGCCAATACAGCTCCACAGGGACCAGGTACACGGGGCCCACCCCAGGGTGGAGCCTGCCCTGCTGGGCTCCCGGGAACCAATCGCCCGGGGGGCAGGGGCGGGCCGCGGGGCACACTGGGGCCCGAGAAGCCCCAGGTGAGGCTCATGCCAGCTCCAGCTTGAGAACCACCCTTCTCTGATAACACGACGGTAGGAAGAGGAACCGAGCCCCTCTGCTTAGGAAGCTAATGGGAGCTGAGCCCGTCCCCACTGCCCCCACCCGCGGACGCCTCGTGCCTAGCATCCCTCATTCCTTTCCTCTGCGTGAGAACCTGAGCCGGCTCAGAGAGGCCACCAGTGAGCAGGGCTGGCCCGCCGGCTCCCTCCCTGACGAGTCCCTCCCACAGATCTTGGCCTTCTCCCAGAAGCTGTTCTATGACCACGAGCAGAGCATGAACATGACGGACAACGTCAGGCCCGTGCAGAGCCTGGGCCAGCGCCAGGTTTTCAGGTCCAGGGCCCCAGGACCGCTGCTGTCCCAGCCTACCCTGCTGGCTCCCGCGCTCGCCTGCCTGACGGTGGGCTTCCTCCGGTGACCCTTCCCTCCTGGACACTTGACCTCTGGTCTCAGCCCTTAAGAGGGCTTGGCCTCTGTCCCTCAGGCTTCTCAGGTTGGACTTCGATGGTGATTAAAATATGGATCTATTTTCGGAAAAAACTTTCCCAAATCTGCGCAGTTTTTTTTTTTTGTTTCGCGTTTTTTTTCTGTGTGTCTCTTGGGATCTTTCCTTTTGGGCACAGTGGTTGTGGCAGGTGAGCTTAATTGCCCCAAGGCATGTGGGATCTTAGTTCCCCAGGCACAGATCGAGCCCATGTCCCCCACGTTAGAAGGCGGATTCTTAACCACTGGATGGAGGAAAGTCTGTCTTTAGTTCCCAACTACTGCTGCCTTGTTCTCAACCCACCCCAGGCTGCCAGGGTAGGGGCCTCAGGGCCTGGAGACTTCTTCTGAGCAGGGCCTGCTAGGCACCCCTCCCACCCTTGTGAATCCCCTCTCACTGACACCCCACTTGGGGAACTGGAGAAAGGACCTCAGAGTTCCGACGCAGTGACAGCTGGAGAAAGTCCAGCCCAGGCTTTCCTCATATAAGGGGGGACGCAGAGGCCCAGAAAGGCTTCCCTGGTCAATTAGCTGATAAAGAACCTGCAATGCAGGAGACCTGGGTTCGATCCCTGGGTCGGGAAGATCCCCTGGAGAAGGAAATGGCAACCCACTCCAGTATTCTTGCCTGGAGGATTCCATGCACAGAGGAGCCTGGTGGGTTGTAGTCTGTGGGGGTCTCAAAGAATCACGACACGACTGAACAGAATAAGCGCGCACGCATGCTTGCACACACACACACACACACACACACACACACACACACATGCACACACACGCAGAAGCCCCAAAAGGAGAGGAGGCTGGTGAAGGCTGCCCAGTGAGCGCCCAGCAGAGGCAGCTGAGACCCAGCCTGCCCTTTCTGTATGCAAAGTGTGTGCATACAGCCTACGCAGGGTGGGTGGTGGGGTTCATTGCTTTGCCTCAATATTTCTTGCGCACCTATGTTCTAGGCACTGGGGTTATGGCAGGGAATAAGACAGAAATGCCTGTCCTCCTGGAGTTCACAGTCTCGCTGGAGACACTATACATAAAAGAGACACATTGCACAGTTTATCGGAAGGTCGTGAGAGCTGCAAGCAGCTGAACCAGAAAGGGAAGGTGGTCAGGGAAGACCTCAGTGGGTAGGGGCGCCCACTGGAAGACTTGAAGGAGGCGGGATGAGGGGCGGGGGGCATCTGAGGCCAGCCAGTGTTCATGCCTGGAATAGAGGGAGGGAGGAGGGGAGGGGAGGGGCCCAGTGAGTCTGCGGCGCAGGGGGAAGGGGTGGGGGCAGTTAGGAGACTGCTGCAGTGTCCAGGAGCTGAGGGTCACACATGAACCCCAGGGTCTTTGGCCCTTGAGCTGTCAATAAAGGCACTCCCCCCACCCCCACCCCGCAGTCTCTAATGGTTTTTTCCCTTTCCCGAGCCCAAGGAGGGAGTAAGACTGGGAGGTAGCAGGTGTGGAGAGGAGGGTCCAAAAACCAGGGAGATAGAAATAAGGCCTTTTCTGGGACCCCAGAGGCAGGTCCCAAGTCAGGTCAGGCCCCGGGAGCCAGGAGTTGAGGGGCCCCAGGGCAGGGCTGGAGTTTTGGAAGAGTGTGAGATAGATTTTAAGAATGGATTTTGGAGGAATGTGAGACGAGGGGAAGAGGCCAAGAACGGGCTTTACTGGGTGAAGAGGGGCCCTGGGGCCAGGGCCAGGGCCTGGTCAGTTGGTGCAGGTGAGGCAGGAGGTAGAGGGCCCCCCTCCCCGGGGGTAAAGTGACTGCAGATTTATTCCCTGTGGACCGAAGCTCCAAGACAAGAAGAGCAGGAAAATTAAGGCAGGAAGCAGGCCCTGCCCAGACCACATCTCTCATTCTCGAAGTCAGGAGACCTCCCCAACCACATAATTGCAGAAAGGCTCCTTGGAGGTCAAAGGAGAGTGAAGTCAAGGGATACTCTACCCACAGTCCTTTGCAGTAGAATCCACCTGGGCTAAGATGCTTGTGTACACATGGGAGGATCCTGAGCTATATCAAAGATGGACTGTGAACCAGGTCAATCAAAAAGATTGGCCAAAGGAAACCCGGAAGAAATGCCCCTTGTGAGTGATTTAAATTGTCATGAGGGCGCGACTCAGGGACTTTCCCTCTGAGGCTGCCCGTGTGTCTATCCACACGTACTGTACACTTTTGCCTCCTAATAAATACTTTACTGGCTTCCCTATTTTCCGTCTTTGTGGGAATTCTTTCCTGCGAAGTTGAAGGCCCAGGGCCCCTCACTGACCACTGGCCTAGTGGCTGGGATCTGGAGCTTTCACTGCCACCACCAGGTCTCAATCTCTGGCTGGGAACCCAAGCCCCACTTCAAACCACCACTGCAGGGCAAGGTCACCTGACATCATGGGAACAGCCTCGGTAACAGGCTTCCGGTCTGGGGGTGATGCCTGCAGAAGACACGGGGCTCGGCCAGCACACACGGGATTCTAGCACCCGATGCTCAAAGCTCTGGCTTGCTGCTGGCCTCTGGAGCAGAGCTGGTTGGAGGAGGTGACCTCTGAGCCTTCTTGGGCTCCAAAACCCTCAGAGGCCCTGACCACCCCCAGCTAGACCTGGGGGACGGAGAAGGGTATGCCCCCTCCATAGCAGCCTCCCTCTCCCTTTTCTCCTTTGTGGCCAAGAATAAGCACCCTCTCCCTTCACTGGTGACCACACAGCCAGCCGTGGGGTGGTGGAGGGGTAGGTGTTGCCGTCACTATGGCAACAGCAGGCAGCTTGTGTCAGCAGGGGGTGTATGGACTGAAACCTGTTCTCTTTGGTTCCCACACAGCCTGGCGGGGGGGATCTGAGATTTCAGCTGTGCCCTCCTCCTCACCCCTCCCAGGCTCAGCACTCTCTCTCTTGGAAGTCTGAACTGCCCCTCCCCCCTGCACCCCCCACCCCCAACCCTGCCCTCCTGGCAATATTTGGTAACTAATAACACCGCAGCAGAACCAGGAAGTCCCAGCTCTCTGCCAAAGACTAGGGGAGCCTGGGCTTCTCCAACCCCCCAGCTGAAGGCGCACGACCCCTTCCTCCGCCCCCTGACCCCACAGTAATAAACCTGACCAGTGGGGCCCGGAACAGGCACGGCTTGTCCAGAGCCTGTGCCTGGCGGCCAGAGCAGGTGCCATCCGCGCTCCACTCACAGCAAGGTCACGGCGGGCCGGTCACTCGGGCAGTAGGCAGCCCCGCCCCCGGGGACTGGCCCCAATCCCAGAGGCTGGGGAAGAGGGGCTGGTGTGTTCCTGAGAGCGGCACCCACCCCTGCAGACCCCGTCTCAGGAGAATGGGTTTGAAGCTCCTTGTGCCCATGGACTGCAGCATGCCAGGCTTCCCTGTCCTTCACTATCTCCCAGAGTTTGCTCAAACTCTTATCCATCGAGTCAGTGATGCCATCCAACCATCTCATCCTCTGTCGTCCCTTCTCCTCCTGCCTTCAATCTTTCCCAGCATCAGGGTCTTTTCCAGTGATGCTCTTTGCATCAGGTGGCCAAAGTACTGGAGCTTCGGCTTCGGCATCAGTCCTTCCAGTCTGGCCTGGCTCCTGACACAGCTCCCCCAGAGAGGAGGGGGCGCTACTAGGAGCCCCTAGCTCTTTCATTCACTTCTGAGTCCTTGCATTGGGCATAACAATGTGTATACACACACACACACGCACACACACACATACACACACACGGCATTGCAGCTGGCCAGGCCTGGGGAAGCCTCCGTGGCTGGAGGGTTGGGCCCCCACTTGACTTCTAGTTCCCTGGCTCCTAGCACGGGGAGGCTGGAATTCAGTGAATGCCTACTGGAGCCACCATGGGCTCCAAGGCAATCCTTTAAGGCTGTATTCCTGCAGTCGCGTGTGGGTTGAGGGTGCTGAGGCAGACGGCGGGGTTAGGGCACCTGTCAGAGGCTGCGGTCACTCTCTGCACCCTCGGCTCCGTGGCCAGCCTTCTCCCCGACAGTCATCCAACCTCTGGGCCTGGACAGGGTGGGGTCCTACAGCACCCCGTCCCACCCAGTCTCCACGCGCCACTCCGTGTCCCTGACGGGCTGTCTCTCGGGCCCCCTGTTTAGATTTGGCATCTGGGAGGGAGCCAAGGGCTAAAAATACTCCCCATGTATTTAGATGATTCTTAGAAAATAAACTTCCCCATCTTGGCTCGTTTGCACACTCGCTGGCCCTGCTTCCTGAGGCTCTGGGCGGACAGTGTTGGGAGGGGGTAAGGACAGGGGTCTGTAGGGGCCCCGAGTCAAGGGTGGTGGCGGTGGAAATGGACGTAGGTGAAGGCTGCCCTTTCAAAGAACTCCAGGGCCTGCCTGCGCGGAGACCACGCTGCAGACACTGTGGTGGGCCTGAGGCCCGTGCCCCCTGTGGGTGAGGGGTGGGAAGAAGCCAGAAAGCTGGTACCCTCGCAGGAATGGAGCTGACTGGTTTCCCTGCTCGGGGCCTCAGTTTATCCCCCTGCAAAGTGGGCTGAGCGTGGCCCTTTGATCCAAGTGGGGTGGGCCTAGCTGTCCTCAGGCTCCTGCTGGTGACCTTGGGAGGAAGGCCAGGCCCGCGACTGCGGGTGGGGCGCTCCTGCACCTTACATTACACGAGTTCTAGCAGCTCTGTTTGTTTATCTCAACTGGGACAAAGGCATTATCTCCTCTGGGGACCAAGGACATGTTCCTGGCCCGCCTGCGCCCAGGGAGGGGCTTCCTCTGGAGGGAGCCACAGGACAGACAAGTCACAAGCCAGTTCCTTCCTCAGAGCCCTCGTCCCAGCCGAGACCAGCCGAGACCGGACTCCTATTCCACGAGTCGGCCCTGCAGAGCCTGGAGGGCGGGGTGAGGCGCGGGGGCCAGGGAAATGACTGAGTACATTCGGGAACAAGATTTTTCTTTCAACACATGCTATTATTTCCTCTGTGCCGGGGATGGATGATTCAGGGAGAAAGAGTCCCATCTGAGCCTTTCCCCCAAGACTCCTGGGCCGAGAGCCCACAAACCACAGGTACAGACCCTAGAGCAGGCACCCCAGAGCCACACAGACATGGGTTTGGTCCCTCTCCTAATG